ACGTAAGAATGGTACATTGAAAATAATAAGGACATCTCCGATGGAAGTAACTCATTTGAGTTTCTTCATGCATTGAAAAATGAAAAAAGTAATTTTCAGTGTATCATGTTAGTATTAAGCAACTTAAACACAAATTTACTCCAATGATAAGAAACTTTAAGAAATTCAACTTTTAGAACTTTTTTTTCTAATCATTTATGAACCAATTTTAAATTTTTATTAAAAAGGATAATTGTACTATAATGAAAGAAAATAAATTACGAGAAAATACACAATAAGTAGATATTAAAAATAAAATAACACAATAATAAATACATAGACATTATATGAAATTAATTTTCATTATTATTATTTATGAAACGTTTCCAAATATGTTCAATAAAATCTGCTTGAAATCTGGTAAGGAACGATTGCTTGAGGAAACAACTCTCTCTCTTCTTCAAGCAACTCATGTTGCCACGTCAGAGTCTTCCAATGACAAGAAACCGGGATTTGAGTTGTTTCATGGGACAAACAACTCCCATTAGAGTTGCTCTAACATTAAAAGATTTTTTTTTTTAAAAAATGTCATTATCGATTTAATTGAATTTTTATTTTATGACTAAGATACTTTATTTTTGTTAATGATCTTCCCTGATTATAATTAATTATGAAGGTATAAGTTAAACGATTTACGGTAAACTATTATTTAGTCTTGTTTTATTGTTTTTTGCATATATAATTTTGTACCTTTAGTATTTCTACATTATATATAATACTATACTTCTTGTTTGGCTGATTAAAAAAAAACACCGCTGCAACCTGCGATGTATTTTGTTTTAAAAATTAAAAATGTGTAAAGGGGATGTGTTGGTATGAAAAGAAGTGAAGGCGATGAAATTCAACTCAATGCTTTTGAGTTTTGACGTGGTTCTAGACTTGTAGTGGTAAGTGCCTAAGTGGTAACTATTCACAGGGACCTACACCGTTGCCTATTGTGGTCTATCCATCAATCAAACCACTCTCCATAAAAGCCAAAATTATTGTCTCCATGTAAATATAATAGGATAAATTGTATTTTAATTTCTCTATTTTTTTCTCACAAATTTAGTTTTTATGGTATTATCAAATTATTATGAAAAATTATTAGATTTTGTTAAAAATTTATAATATAGGGAATGACTTAAATTATTTTTCACAAAGACACAAGTAAATGTGATTCAAAATTATCATGTAAGGTTAAAATCAAATTTTTATGAATTTTGAACAGTAATTGAACAATTAAGAATGTAATAGAGAATTAAAAGGAAATTTTAATCAGATATTACATTGATTCAAAATTTTAATCTTTATAATAAAATTTTCATTATTTAAAATATAATCTGAATAATAATGGTATCAACATAGATTTTTCGCTTTATAAATTTCTCTGGTCCAGTTGTGTACCTTTTAAAGTATCAGGTTTTGCTTGGAAAGCCTTGCTGAATAGGATACCAAGTAAATGTAACTTAATTAAGCGGAAGGTTCTTAATCTTTCTGCTAGTGGTGCTTGGTGTGGTGAAGATTTGGAGAATACTTCTCACCTATTATTTGGATGTTATTATGCCTATTCTGTATGGTTATCTATTTTTGCTTGGTTTGGTGTTTCAACAGTTTTACACAACTCTTGTCATGAAAATTTTGCTCATTTTATTGGATTTCCTAGATGCAGTGGTAGAGATAGGATGAGGTGGTCCATGGTTTGGTTAGCCACAATTTGGTCTCTGTGACTTGCTAGAAATGATGTCATTTTTAAAGACAAGGTGGTGGCAATTACGAATTTAGTGGAATTAATCAAACTACGTAGCTGGAACTGGATTAAGACCAAAGATAAGTCATTTTTTTACCCATTCTCAGCGTGGTTTTCTTCCCCTGGTGTTTGCCTTAACTTTTGGAATAATGATTCTTTCTGATTCTGTACACACCACGGTGTTAGTTTTGTATATGGTTTTCTGATTACTGAACTTGTTTGATTATTAGATGACATTTTATAGTCTTAGTTTTGTAATGGTGGTAGACATTACAATCTGGTGATTACCTTTTGTATGAACTACGTTGAATTTTGTTTAGGTGACTTTGTATTATGTAATGGGTTGGGGTACCCCTTGTACTCCCCTTAATTTATTTTTCTTATAAAATAAAATAATAAAAAAAATATATATAATCTGAATTAAATCGATCTAAATCAACACAAATTAATGTAATTAAAATATAAATCTATATCTATATCTAATAAATTTCATAAAAACGTGAAATGCAATTATGATCTCACAATTTTCATGAAATTCAAGAATGATAAACGGTTGATTTAAAAAATTTAAGTTATTTTATGTCTATATCTAAATCTATATCTACATCCAAAATTAATCTTAAATCTCAATTTTAGATCTAATTAAATGACATTCATAATCGTGAAAATGAAAATTACATCTAAAATAGAGAAGAAGACGAAAAGAAATCGTACGATAGAAATAGATTGAGAACACAAATTTTACCATAATTATAATTCATGAAACTTCGAATTGAATGAATGAATTAATTACTTATATCCATTGAGTTGTTGCAATCAATTCATGTAAAATGTAGAGATAAAATTTTGAGAGAGAAAGAGAGAGAATTTAGAAAAACTTGTAGAGGAATGAGTTTAAAATGTATATAACAAATCTCACAACACCTATTAATAAAACAATATAGTGGACCTATTTAAAATATTTACAAGACCCAACATACTAATCAATTAATTAACAAGGTTAGACTACTAATATAATAAATTCTTAAAGTAAACTCAAAATGAAGTGTAGAAACATAATATTGAGACACATTTTTGGACCCTTAAACGATTAAATTGGGTGAAACTTCCAATAGAGAAGTCGTAAAGCTCTATCTTATCTTTCTAGGGACACCAAGAATGTCCAATTTCGAGTTTGGGAGCTCCAGATACGACCTGCATAAGACAACATGTTAAAGTAGACAGAAATTACGAAAATTAACTAAAATTTAGAATTAAAAGCAAAAAAGTTCACTAAAACAAATGTCAACCAATTCATTAATTTAAAACACTTTTAAATGTAAAATAATTCTAATATAACATACTAAAATATGCATTAATTATGCACTACTAGTTCCTCTATTTTAAAATAGAGACATTTAATCTTATTTTTTAAAATACAAAATTTTGTCTCTTCCATCAATTTGATGTTCATTGATCGTTAAATTTTGATGTTGTGTAGTAATCTATTATTACTTAAGTGATATGATATTTAGTGATGTGACGTATATGGATAAAAATTTAAAATAACATAAAAAATATCATTTATGTATATTTTTACGAGTAATTTATATTTATTTTATTAATAAAAATTTTATTTGTATATTTTTTTTAATTCTTTATTTCTAAATGTCATGTTACTAAATGTTATATTATTTAAGTATGAGTAAATTTTAAAACTTAATAATTAGTAAATGTCAATTTAATGAAGGATCCAAAACTCAGTAATTTTAAAATTAGATGAACTAAATATCTCTATTTTAAAATAAAAATATCAAAATTATGAATTGATAAAAATAAATTAAGAAAACTGTAATTTGATACCATATAATCATGTGGTAAGATAATTGAGAAATTAAAAAAAGAAAAAAGAATAAATAGTTATTGATCTACCTTTAATTATAACTGTTATGTATGAAAAATTATTAAATTTTATATTAATTATTTTTATTGCAACATTTAAATAATTAATAGTGTAAAAAATATTATACTGAAATATATAAAAATTAAACTTAATAAAAGGGGCAATTTTTTACGCTACATAATTAATAGAAAGAGTTATTTTAAAATATTTTTTGTCTGTATAATTTTGGAATTTTATCTTGCTAGTCCTTATAAAAAAAATTTTGGTCGTTTTAATTTATATAGTATAGGTATTTTATTTTTTGGTTTTCCAAAAAATTGTTTTGATTAATCTTATTCATGAAATATATGCTTACTTTAAGCATAGTTGACACAGCAATGTAACACTTTGTTACCTTATCTTGTAATTGAGTTTTAGTCACCGAAAAAAAATATTGTACTTTAAGATTGCAAAAATAAATTTATATGGATGGAAAAACAAAATACCTAAATTATAGAAATAAAAAATATATTTAAGTGAAAATTAAATATGTTTTAATTTTTATAAATAAAATAATGCTAGTATTTTAATATGTATAATGCAATTTTTTTTAATGTTTTTAAAAAATATAATACACAGATTAGTTGTTTATTATATCTAACTAAAATTTTAATAAATTATTTATATAAATAAATATTATGTTTAAAAATGTAAATTATATTTAAAATTTGTATAAATAAATATTTTTAATCATATAAGTTATATTTTAGATTTATAATAAATAATTTATATTAAACTTTAATTCATAAATAATTATGATAAATAAAAATAAAATTAAATAAGAAATTAAAAGAGTTCTTTAAAATTCTCATGTCAAATAAAAAGTTCTTAAAAACAATAAGAATACTCGTGTTCGTATTTTTTTTTCTTTTAATTTTTTTTATCCTTCACTTATGCAATGTTTTTTCTTTGACATGGGAAAATAACACTTATTCAAATTTTTAATGTTAGGTTTCAATTTTAATTTTAAAAGAAAAAACAAAGATCCATCCACTGTAAACATAAAAAGAAAAGACTTGATTAAAAATAGATAATTAAATTTACAAAATTAGTCATTTATAAAATTAATAAATAATTTGCATTAGTAACATGGAAAAAAAAACTGTGAACAAAAAGAAATCAACGTAGTAACTACTACTATACTACGTATAACGATCAAAATTTCTTTAATTTACTACTCCTTACTTGTGTAATCGAATGATAAAGGAGCATCATTATTAATTGCGATGAAATTTGAGTTTCAAAACATGGGTTGTTGTGATTACCTTTTAATGAAGAACATGAACATATAATTAATTAACTATAGGGATTTGGCTCCAGGCTACTTGCTAATTGAATCGCCTCTTTTCGCTTTTCCTTGAATAGACTTTTCGTCGTAACTACTCACTAGCTACTCTTTTCCATTTGGCATTACCAAATCCTTTCCTACGTTCATCATTGCTGCCTGCACCCATCTATGGATCCCTTCATTAACATTCTTTGCCTTTGCTGTGTCCTGCTACTCTTTACTACCGCAGGTACAAAACAAAACAACAAAACTCTTCTCGCCGAGTTCACACTGGGCACCGTTGGCCAAGATTTCTACGACGTGAGTCTGGTGGATGGCTATAATCTCCCCATGATCGTGGAAGGGAGTGGCGGGTCGGCTCTGTGCCCTTCCACCGGTTGCACTTCGGATCTCAGCTTGCAATGTCCGAAGGAGCTGAAGAGCGGCGACGGAAGCGCGTGCAAGAGCGCGTGCGAGGCCTTTGGCAGCCCTGAATACTGCTGCAGCGGAGAGTATGGTTCGCCGGCCACGTGTAGACCTTCTGTGTACTCTGAAATGTTCAACGCTGCTTGCCCCACATCGTATAGCTACGCTTATGACGATGCTTCAAGTACGTTTACTTGTGCTGCTGCAGATTACACACTCACCTTCTGTCCATCCTCTCCCAGGTAACACTAACTTTATCTTTTCATTAAATATCTAAATTACTATTCCAGGATGCATCAATATTTACTTTCACTTTTTTAACCTACAATTACTGTAAAAATAAATTTATTTTTTCTTTTTCTATTAATGTAGCGTATGTAATGTTAAAGTATGTAAATTTTAATGAATTACTTGTCTGTTGCGAATATCGTCACAAAGAAGTCAGAATCTGACAAATGCTTTACTTTACGGATTGAGAAATTAAAGATTGTCGAAATGTGTGGGGTTGTGCTTGTGCAGTCAGAAATCTTCAAGAGATAGCAGTCCAATGACGTCAACAGCGTCACAACAAGGATCAGATTCAGGAGCGACGGGGGAGTATTCCATTGATGGTTATGGTTATGGTTCATCACAAGGGTCCGGAGAGGCTGTGCTAGCAGATGGGTCATACTTAGCTGGTTTGGCTATGGGAGGATCTCACAAGCTCTCTTTCTCTTTTACCTCTTTGCTTCTTCTCTTCTTCTTCTCATACTCGTAGCTTGTGCTTCCTAGAATATTGTGTTGTACATGCATGGGTAGTGGATTTTTGCGGGTTAATTAATAGGTTCATCAATTTCGGCTTTGCCACATGTTCTTCCCGATTGAAAACCACTTTTAGATTAAAAAAAATCAGGTTTCTGAGGATAACGTTTATATTTATATTTATATGTTAAGCTTGAGATTTAAATCCTTGTATGCTAATAAATATAATAATATCACCATGTTGAGAAAAGAAAATATAACTTTTATTTTCTTAATTATGTAATTATATCACCCTATTCTTTAGCAAGACTGGTTCTAAATTCTTCAATTCTTAAAACGAGTGTTAGTAATATACTAATATTTTTTTTAACGGATTTTAATTCATTGGAATATATAAAATTATGTGTTAGATTTATTAAATAAGAAATGAGTATAATAACTCCAGATCCCTTGATAGATTGCTGGATGTCCTGCTCCTATCCAAGTTCTATATGTGAGGGTTATACTTTATACAATACTTTATAAAAGCAAAGTAGCAAACACATTTAATCAATTTTGGGCTGGCTTGGTTGATTTCACACGTATAGATGTATGTGCTGGCCTGTGGCTTTATTTTGGTTTCTAGAGAGAAGAGGGAGAGAGGTTTGAAAAGGAAGCTGGTTATGAATCCTCTACAAAGAGTATTATTTCGTGTCTGAGACATGGTGCACTTTGCGGGTAAGACAAGTAGTTTTCTTGACTTTTGCCTTTTGTTTTTGTCTGCTGCTGAATAAGAAATTTGAATCACCTTTTGGTGTGATAATAGTAGAACTTGTGGGTGGAAAATATTAGAGAAATTGAGACGTGAGAATGAGATATTACAATTTGCACACCGAGTAAATCTAACATATCCAGTAGATAACTCACTTTCTTAAACATGTTCTAATGGTATATGCACGTTTTGTCTTAAAAAATGCACTACATATAATTGCGACCCTTTAGGATAAATATAAATATAAAGACAAAAAATAATTAAATAGCTAGGATATCTACCTATTTATATTTATCTTTAATCTCAGTAAATATGCTATGAGATATAACAATGAGGAATGCACTTTCTCATTTGAAGTAAGTTATTCTACTTTGATTCTACTGTTAACTACAATTAATATGACTTAACCAAGTTATATGGTCTCAAATATGATGATAAGTATATTCCTGCCAAACATGTTAATAATCTAGGTTTTCCTATGGACATATCCTAGGTTCCAATATGATCTTAAAATAGACAATTACACACAAAAAAAATACATATAGAGAGGCGCAAAGGATAGATATGCCGAGGATAAGAAGATAAAGATTTCCACTCTATAATGATTAATATTTTGTATAGTGATATTTTTATGTCAAGACAAACTATGACACAAACATTTATAATAGAAGGCACAGATTTATTAAGAGTGTTATTATTATATATCCAAGAGTGTTGTTATTATATATCCAATAATATGATATTGGTAAATTATCATTGTTGCAAAATTTGGCAAGTGCACATCTTCACGATCGATTACGAAGAAGAATTCTCTTTTTATCTAAAATTTATATAATCACAAAGTCAAAAATAACCTAAAATATGTGATAGTATTGTCATTAAGAACTTATTTGCATGATATGCAAGTCTCCCATAATATAACAGGTTCTTTCCAATAATAAATATTGGGATAACAGAACTAACAAATTTTTAAGTGAGAATAATCTATGAAATCTATAAAGTGATAAAAAAAAGATGTATAGGAGAGGCTCAAAACCTTAATGATGTTATATTTATAATGAAGAGAAAATATTTGTCAAACTCACCTTTGACTAAGTGATCATAAGATAAAATGTACTCAACTTTTAAAGATTAAGTCAAAATATAAGATAAGACTTAGTCTAAAAAACCAAGTCAACTAAATCTAAGAAATATATTTATTTAATAAAATAAAATTAATTTAAAATATTTTTGAAACTATAATTAAATAAACATATTAATATTTTTGGAATGTCACTAAAAAATATAACAATCTCCCACGTATTTCAAAAGGATTTAAGAGAAAACAAAGAATTTTTTGGGTTCTTATTCTCTTGGATGTAATGCATTGGACCTATTATAGCAAGTTATATGAACCAAACCTAGACCGATAAAACTTAACACTTAAGGTGGTTGGTGTAACAAGCTATATGAACTAAACACACTTGACATATGTTAAAGGTCTACTAATCACATTACACTCCCACAATCCTTATTGTTATTGTTGTTGTGCGCTAATAGGCCATAGGTGTGCTCGGTATTCATTAGTGTTCTAAAGATCTCGCCAAGATCTTATACGAGTAGCTCCACTTAATACTCATATAGGTGATTTCATCAAGTGTATATCACAAATCATACACCACTTATAAAGGACATGAAAATCATTAAAATTTTTATCAAATGCCAAGCTTTCCCAACACCACTTACTTTCCATTCACTTTATATTAAAAATAATAAATAAATAAAACTTTATCACTATAAAGTTAATACTGTTGCTTCTTAAATCTCACAATAGCTTTCATAATTAAAATCCTTAAAGATTAATAACTTATTTAAATTAATCGGGCACATAAAAAATACACTTAGGAAGATCAATAACTTTTCTAACAATCTTAGAAATCAAAAAATAAATTCATAAACTAACCAATAAATTTTCATTCTTGACACCACCACATACACACCTTAAAAATAAAATCTACATGATCAAGTACTTAAACATGTGGACACTATATGTTAATTATTCTATCAAGTAATTATTCACATCACTAAAACCAAGCTATCACCATTCATTATATATAATTGAAGCATTTAATCAATTAATGTACTTGATCAACACTAACTATTTCTACATAACATTAAGCTTCTTTCTCATATAATGTCATATAGATGAAACTTATATGTAATAATGCGTTGCCTCAAATGCAAATAAAATATATTTTAGTTACCAAAACAAGTATATGATCACACACACACATATATATATATATATGAGAAAACCTTAAAATCGATATCTCAAAATATATCGCAAAAATGCTCATCATCACATAAAGTAATGCACACTAAAACTATCATAAATAATTATATTAATTTAGAGATTTTAAAATAAGTCTCATCTCATTCATGAAAATTAATGACAATAATATAATATACTAATAAATAATTTTTCTCACTATAAAGAGATTTCTCAAATATTAATTCCCTACATCATTCTCTAAATAATACCTCATAAATGCTGCCTCATAATTATCGCTATCACCTCTTAATTGCATCTTTTTTCATTTTCATGAATTGATTTAGTCTCCAAAGACAAAATAAAAAAAAATAGGCATATAATACATACCTCAACCTGATGCGCACACAAAAAATAAATTTTGACAAATAATCCTATATTTCCATCAAAGCTTTTCCACCATTGAAAGGAGATATCACTGTTGCACAGTGCCTCTGAATCTCCATAAGTGTTTATAGGAAATATGTACTAATGCAACCACATGTGTGTAACCCCTTGAACAGCAAGCTCATACACTCTTCAACATTTTTATTACCAATAATGATAATGACTTGTCTCGTGGTCAGTATATTTTTTCCAATAACCATAGCACAAAGAAAATTATAAATATTTCACAATGATCTATAAGGCAGCAAAGCCATTTCATATCGGTGACCCACGGAAAAAATGCATTTCATTTTCATTTTCTTTATCATATTGAAACCTCACTATGCCATCATTTCTGATGACAATAGGAGGCGACATCGTCACGTCCTTGATGTCGCTGAACAGAATGAACGTCGCATGAAGGATGTAACAAGTCCCACATCGGGGAGGTCTCCTCACCAAGGAGTCCTTATAAGGCGGGAGGTTCTCCAACCTCTTGGGCCGGCTTTTGAGGGATGGTTCCCCTCCTTAGCCTTATGCTCGTTACAATGGTGCTTTCATTGAGAGCCAGCCAAATCGAGAAGGGCTACCCACGGAGGGTTCTGACCATCGGAGGGTTCTGACCGGCAAGAAGGCCGAGTGAAGTGCCGGTGAGTGAAGTACCGTGGAGTGCAGCCATCGAGGACGCTGGCTTTCGAAGGGGGTGGTAATGTAACAAGTCCCACATCGGGGAGGTCTCCTCACCAAGGAGTCCTTATAAGGCGGGAGGTTCTCCAACCTCTTGGGCCGGCTTTTGAGGGATGGTTCCCCTCCTTAGCCTTATGCTCGTTACAATGGTGCTTTCATTGAGAGCCAGCCAAATCGAGAAGGGCTACCCACGGAGGGTTCTGACCATCGGAGGGTTCTGACCGGCAAGAAGGCCGAGTGAAGTGCCGGTGAGTGAAGTACCGTGGAGTGCAGCCATCGAGGACGCTGGCTTTCGAAGGGGGTGGTAATGTAACAAGTCCCACATCGGGGAGGTCTCCTCACCAAGGAGTCCTTATAAGGCGGGAGGTTCTCCAACCTCTTGGGCCGGCTTTTGAGGGATGGTTCCCCTCCTTAGCCTTATGCTCGTTACAAAGGATCTCCTCCGCTAACCATCCCACGTACAACATGTTCTCCTACGTACACACCTTTGCATCATTGCCATTGTTTGGGTTTCAAGGTCGTGGACGTGGGTGTGTAGGCATTAGGTGTGAGTGATGTGGCGGGTGTGGGAGAGAGAATTGAAGAGGGGTTAGGATTTTGCAAGGAGGCTAGCTTCACTGTATCGTAATATCCACCATGAAACTCTGATTTTCATGGACAATGATTAAGTTCTTAAAATTATTGTACATTATTGTCCATCTCCACAATCAATCACGAACAGGAATCTTCTTTCTAATTTAAAAAGAATATAATCACAAAATTAAAATAATTTAAGACATGTGATAACATTATTTTTAAAGACTTATTTATAATGTGCAAGCCTTTAAGGATATAACATATCCTTCCAAATAATAATTGAAATAACAAAATTAATAAGTTTTTAAATGAGAATAATATCTATGAAGTAATTAAAAAAAAAAAGATGTGTAGGAGAGACTTAACACCGTGAAAATGTTATATTTATAATGAAGAGAAACTGTTTTTCAAACCTACCTTTAGTCAAATCATAAAATAAAAATATAATCAATTTTTGAAGACTAAGTCAGTAGATAAGACGAGACTTAACTTAAAAAACTAAGTCAATAAGACTAAATTTAAGGAATATATTTATTTAATAAAATAAAATAAATTTAAAATATATTTAAAACTATAATTAAATAAACATATTAATCTTTTTAAAATATCACTAAAAAAAAATACAACATGTTTGACAATAAATTCATGCTCCAATCCTTATCTTTCTATCCATTTTCCTTTATTAAAAATCAACAAAGGTATATGGAATTAAATGTTGATAGGATAATATCTTGGTTTAAGCATTATATGGTTTTAATTAATATGAAATTTGTATTTTAGTTAAAGTTAACTAAAAAACTCAACTTATAAATTGACTTAAAGTTAATATGAAAATGCTTAATATTAAATTTGTAGATTTTACGTTATTTTGTTTTGTACTTGTTGTGAATTGCTGGTAGAAAGTCTTCAACTAAAGTCTTCAATTCTCAATCATTAGAATTATAAACGATAGTTATACATGCAAAAGAGACTTTTGATATCAAAATTAACGAGTAGTCAAAGTATTCAAGTATTGTGTGTAATGTTAAGTATCTTCTGAAAGAAAGATATAAATATATATAATAAGAGAATATTATCATTAAAGATCTTGTTATTTAAGTGCATTCAACACCTTTTATTGTCGTGTAATAGTTAAACATTATTTTCTGTTAGACTTAATAGAGCGAAGTGTCCGATTGGATCGGAAACTCCTTAGCCTACGAGAACAGTGTTTGTCGATCAAGATGAGCAAAACTGCAATCATGTCCCCCAGAGTGGAATACCGACAAGATCTCGACCTCAACACTTATCCGGTACACGGTATTTAGTCATCTAGACAGTGATTATAGCATTTGAATTTGAAACTAAATTCAAGTAAAGTAAAGCAGCTTGATAACTAGTATCTAAGAATTCCGTGCATTTAGCCATCTACGACTTTGATTATTGTAGCATTTGTATTTGAAACTAAAGTTTCTGGTATTTAAGTGTCATATTGTAATAGTGACATGTCTAGTTTCTTCACCCCGAGAGAGGGAGAATGTTGACTTTATGGTCCTGTTTTCATAGTTAACACTAATTCTATACTCTCCTAAGAAGCCGTAAAAGCTATAGGAACCGTGCCCATCAGTGACTCCCTCTACACGACCAGATTGCCACTCCTCAAGAAGTTTGTCCACTATATCACCTGCTGGGAGGTTCTTAAAATTATTGTCTGTGAGGCACATTTGGTAACACCCATTTGGATGAAAAGCAGTCCATAGCATTATCCCATTCACATAAGGATGAGAGAAACCTTCCCTCAACACTTCTTCCAAATAATTTGCCTACATACAAAAAAAGAGATTCAATTAAGCAAATTGCAATCCAATAGGCATGCAAAAATTTATGCTAAAAATCAATAAGAAATCATTCTAAATATGATGTTAAAAGTCAACAGACATATTAACGAGTTTTTAATTGTGTAAAGTATATTTTATTTCTTCATTTTTTCTAGAATTTGACTAGATCTAGCTCACCTGTGCATCTCTATCAAGTGTCTTGCTTATATCAACTTCAGTAAGCCAAATAGGAAGGCCAAGTGTTGCCAACTTGTCTAGGATAGCTCTGATAAGAGGAGGATTGGGTATTGTGAAGTGACCCTCCAAGCCAATTCCATCCATAAAGATTCCATTTCGTTGCAATTCTCTTACACGTGATATATAGGCGTCCACAGTGGAATTTGCATCGCTGCACGTTTCCACAACATTATAGTCATTCATAAATAGTGTTGCCAATGGATCTGATTCATGTGCTGTCTCAAAGAAATGAAATGTGGCATCTGGTCCAAGCCTTTGCTCATAGAAATCAAAATGAAGCATTTCATTGCTGACGTCCCAGTGTATGAACTCATCCTTGTATTGGCTCATGAGACTGTGTATTCGAGAATTAACAGCAGATTGGAGCTGCATGCCAGTAAGGTTAAGAACCCATGCAGGAGTGTATTTAGGGTCTTCCCAGAATATATTGTGACCTCTGGCTACGATATTGTTTGTTCTAACAAATTGCAGCATCCGGTCTGAAATGGTGTAATTGACCTTGCCTTCATCAGGTTCTGTAGCGTACCATTTGAGCTCATTTTCAAATACTGCTGCATTGAACCGCTTCACAAACCAATTCTGAATGGACCAAGGGAATAATGAAGCATGTTGTGTTACTTTCTATGCCGTGAAATATGTTGGTGGGGTATAGAAAATATACAAACCTGATAGAGCAAGTTGCCAATAATGGTTTTTGCTATTGCAGATCCAATAGGGAAGTCTTTTGCGATTTGCTCTACACAGATAGAAGCTCCTTGCAATCTCTTTCCATTACTATCTGACACATGAATAGTGACGGCACGCTTTCTATGCTGTCAAAATGCAAGTGGAAACAAAGTTAAAATCTTCTTCAAACTCTGCTCTGTAGCATTAGCACGTACATCCCTTTTTTTTTTTAAAAAAAAAAAAAAAAAAAAAAACTTGTTTAGTCTTACCAACATCATTAGTTTGTTTGGTTACATGATCATGGTAGATAAAACAACAAAGCATTCCCTTGTTTTGGTCAAATAATATGAAGTGTGACTCACAGTATTGATTATATACTGTTGATTGATTCTCCATTGCTGCTTAGTAAATGGCTGGAGTGACGCGCTAGCAACATCTATATCGATATCTTTACCATCCGCGCTCTACATATAAATCACCAAAATTAAAAAGAAACGAACCAAATATCTTGAAGCCAATTACTAAATAAATAACAATGAAAAGCAAGCCACCTGGAAGAAGATATTAGATAAGTTTGAAGGCGAATCCAAAACAAATCCACCCTTCAGAAATGACCAGCATCCACGTTTGGCTGAAACTGTCCCAATGCAGTCATGTGTCTCTTTCTCTGTTTCAAGTCTGGCCCTTATCACAGCTGCACTTGAATCTTTAATTCTCACCCATACTGTAATATAAATCAGGCGCTCACATCATATCTAACAATCGTACAATAGGCCACCTTAATTTAGATTTGATTGTAATATCAAGTTATATATGTTCATTTCAGTCCAATACCAACAATCCGTTGTAGTCTAGTTGGTTAGGATACTCGGCTCTCACCCGAGAGACCCGGGTTCAAGTCCCGGCAACGGAATTTTTTTTTTTTTAATCTTTTACCAAATTGCAAATAAAGCTAGCACATTTCTTTTTCCCATTTATTAAGAAGAAAATGTTGAAGTAACATTAAAAAAAAAAAAAAAAAGTTTGTAGAGAAGATAACTAACCGGAAAAAGAGTAAATGGAGCCGTGAGTGAGATTACACAGAACGAGTGAAGTGACATAGGTATTGTTGACAACATAGGAGGCAGTGCTGTCTTCAACACCACGATTCTCACTCTTGAAAACTCCTCCGCCATAAAGTGGCTCCTCTGGCTTCTCTTTGCACTGTCATGTACATAAATTAAAGGCCCATAAAGTGATACTCCCATCCCATGTCAATGTTGAAATATGTTTTTAATTTAATTACTTACCTCAGTGTAGGCAGTGGAGTCATACAAGGGCCCATCTGCAACAGAGAAACCAACATAATGAATATTAAGAATCTTACACTAATTAAAATTTGCCACTCAAAGTACTAAACAGAAAAAAAAAAAAAAAAAAAAAAAAAGGAGTAGGAACAAGAACCATATAAAGGAGAAACCAAAGAAGCCCCTATTAGAAAGAAGAAAAGTATAAGGCCATAGAAGGAGATATCTTGCATCCTTGGACTTAGGAATTGGAACAGGTCACTCTCCTTGTGACGAGAAACAAAGGGGTTATAAACTGTGAAAGGAATTGTTAAACATAAATAAATGCCCGTGTTAGTACTGTGTCCCAGAAAACACGAGAGCGGAAGGAAGGAGAGAAGACAAGGAATTGTACTTTGGGAGATGATGTCACAATTCACAAGGGAACAGGAGCTGTTAAACGACCCGTGTTATGCCTTCACATGCTACGTGAAAAATAAGAGTACTAATAAATTTATGTGACTATTAATTGAGTGACAATTGTATGCACTCCAATGGTTTGCAGTTGGCACATTTTAATTTTACTGTTCAGGCCCCTGTTGCATCATTAATTACCAATTTATCAGTGGTTGATTATTTGCAACGTTAATTAATGATGGTAACGGATTTGTACCAGCCATTTAAACTCTTGTTTTCTGCCTTCACTTTGCGGATCCTCGCCTCATATTCACTCTCCTACTTAAAAAAAAGGTAGAAAAAACTAGAAACCTAAGTTTTGAATATTTTTTATTATTATCATCCGTTATGTATTTGCACAGGCAAAAGTGTGAGAATCGTACAAGTTGGTCTTGGATCACATCATCCTTCCCGTGATGTCATAATATAAAATTGTGATAAGATTAAATAAATATTTAAATAATTTAGTAATAAATTCAAATAAGTGAATTATGGATGGTTCAAAACTCATGTGAAACATCCCATAAGAGCCCAAAAATCACGCCCTTTCATGTTTGGGTCTTGGACAGCTGTTCAAGTGCAAAAAGACAATAACATTATGTGATGAATTGATTAACGGATGGAAAATTACTGTTAAAAAATGTTTCGGTACGAAAAGAACTCTTAACATTCTAGAAGTAGTAGCAGGTTATGGAATGTGATTGAGAGATGATAGTGTCTTTTTCGGATTGCAAAATCTGATTTTAACCAGGCTATGCTGATTGCCACTGAGGGGGAAGTAAATGCGATCCTTCGCTCTTTGATTTCGTTGATAAATCAGAGCTTTTACAATGTTATTGTTGAATCTGATTGATTATTGATCTGATTTTGAATAATGAGAAAAATATGTAAGTATAATATGATTCTTACTCAAATTGGAGATACGTTGAAATTGTATCCGTGCTTTGTAGCAGAAACCAACCCATATATATATATAGTTAATTACTTATATGACACCAGTGTAAAACTTTTTTTATACAAACAATCAATAAGATTTTTTAATTGTATTATGTTATTTACTTATTTAATGAAATAATAATAAAATAAATAATTTTAAAAGATCTTATTAAATATCAATTTATATTAATAATGTATAAATGATTAACTCATATATTTACATTTAGTTCCATATTTTTTTTAATGATCCTTATACCAAGTAATTTTTTCATATTTTTTCTTCTTTCAGTTACAAGATATTGGTGACTTTATCACGCAGAACTTTATCAAAAAGATATATAGAATCTACACTGTTTAATCGTTTAAACTAATAAAGAAATACCTTTATTAATTACTAGCTATCGGGGACGAAAGCAGGTAATCTAATTTTGGAATAAGTGGTTGGGTCAATGGTAATATAGGTGGATGTTACAACGGCTTGCTTATGTTTGAAATTTTTGGTTATGTTAGAAAAACTAACATTTAGTAGAACAAATTAATGACACCCAAAAAAGAGTGGTGTACTTCTAACAAAGAAATGAAAACAAAAAAGAGAGTGGCGTGAACTTTCCGATAATGTTACTGTTATGACCCCATCAATGCAAATGTTTTTTTTCTTTTAATAGACATCATTCATATAATATTTCAAAAATTAATCATAAAGATTAATTTATATTTGTGAATATAATTTCTGCTGATTAATTATTATTTAAACATAAATAAAAATAAAAAAATTGATTTCATATTTTAAGAGGGAGCTTTGGACAGGATCTAAAGACTTACAGTATTTGATAAGTAGAAATGTTAAGCATGCAACTTGGAGGGACCACCGAATACTTATTAGCTACACTAAAGAAGTGGCACGCGCTCTTATTTTTTGGACCACATTACCCCCCACAATGTGCAGTGTAGAGCTGGTCTCACTTTTAAATACCTTGTGCGTCAAGCATGGGCAACACTAACCAATTTGGACAAAACAAAATGGGCAAAACCGAAGTCGCATAAACTATGTGAATTTATTTTTTGAACATCACTACCCTTTAACTGAAGCATGCTCCCCTCTTTGATGCTTGGCATCATCAACTTCTGTCTAAATTTGTTGATTTTTTTGGCCAAAAAGACCACAAACACATGAATATATGTATTCTCTTTTCTCTCTTATAGTTGGGGTTTCTACGTGGTTTTGGTACTCCACCAAACATGTTCCTTTCACTTCTCATTCAGCATGCTCTTCGAGGACCACACATATATAATGAGTTGACAAATGTTATTGTTTAACAATATTTTTTATTTCAGATACTATTACGATATGGTCTCCTATTGTTTTAAGTACTAGAAAGAAGGTTTACTCTAATAAATAAGAGAAATTAATATTTATCTTAAAAGTATTCATAAATAATCAAAGTGACAGGTTAACAGTTGAGAAAAGTTAATTTTTGTCATAAAATTATACATAAATAAGTAAAAATATTTATTAATTTTTGTAGTAACCCAATTTCGTCCGGGAAATATTAATTTTGCCGATCTTGAAAAGTTGGGTTTGCTTGAATGCAATTTGGGGGTTGAGATTGCTTGTGTCTACGCCTGCTTATGTTTCTATTGTTGCCTCTAAGATGTGTGTTGGTTGTCCCTTGGAGGTGTGTGATAGGAAGTATAAGGTGAACTTGATCTGTTTGCCTTTAGTGGATATTAACATAATCTTAGGCATGGATTGGTCATCTGCCAATCACATTCTTATAGATTGTTCCAATAGGGACCTGAGTCTTGGACGCGCTTTTTCAGTCCCGAGAGTATAACCTTGTTGGCCGACTCCGCTTGGCCGTTAGACTGGGGGTGTTCGACGGAAGTGAATGTCATTTAAATTCTGATCTCTTGACAAAAATCACGAACTCGCCCACTCGCGAATTGCGTCCCATTATTCGATACGAGTACTTGGGGGACACCATATCTGCATACCACATTCTTCCATAAAAATGTTCTTACCTTCTCCGCCGAAATGGTTGCTACGGGCTCCGCTCGGATTTTTGCCGATCAATCACGAGTTTTGGTCTTCGAGTTATTTATACTCGCTCAGTCAGATTTTAACCGATCAATCACGAGTTTTGGTCTTCGAGTTATTTATACTCGCCCAGTCAGATTTTAACCGATCAATCACGAGTTTGTCTTCGAATTATTTATACTCGTCCAGTCAGATTTTAACTGATCAATCACGAGTTTTTGTGCCCTTAAAATAACACATGTTATAATCATAGAAGAAAAATAGGGGATGACAATTATTAGGATTGAGGAATTATTGGTTTGTGGTGCCTCATTAAAAACCTTCTCAGCAAAAAACCCCTCTCATTTTTACGGGGAAAAAATACTGAGGTAGGAAAAGAGTGCACCTGATACAAATGAAAGATTGGCTATAATAGAAACGTAAGTTTGCAGCGTTCCAAGTTCTCGGAATCTTCCCTCCATCTAGGGTCCTTAGTCGGTAAGCTCCTTTGCCGACCACATCATCAATTTTGTAAGGGCCGACCCATTTGGGTGATAGTTTGTTTCTCATTTGAGTCAGCTGAGCGCGCTTCAAAACGAGATCTCCTACCACAAAGTCTCTTGGAACGACTTTTGTATTATACTTGAAAGCTGCCCTTAGTTGTGCCGCTACTTGATTTATCCTTGCTCTCTCTTGTTTCCGCGATCAAATCCAAATCAACTCGCCTCCCCTGTTCGGATTCCTCCTCCGAGAAGCATGTGGTACGTACCGAGGGTTCGGCGATTTCAATCAGTATCATTGCGTTTGTCCCATACACTAGATTGAAAGGGGTGTCCTGGGTCGATGAATGAACAGTCATGTGATATGACCATAAAACTCGGGGAAGCTCCTCCACCCATGAAACGCCTGAGTCTTGGACGCGCTTTTTCAGTCCCGAGAGTATAACCTTGTTGGCCGACTCCGCTTGGCCGTTAGACTGGGGGTGTTCGACGGAAGTGAATGTCATTTAAATTCTGATCTCTTGACAAAAATCACGAACTCGCCCACTCGCGAATTGCGTCCCATTATTCGATACGAGTACTTGGGGGACACCATATCTGCATACCACATTCTTCCATAAAAATGTTCTTACCTTCTCCGCCGAAATGGTTGCTACGGGCTCCGCCTCAATCCACTTGCTGAAGTAGTCTACAGCCACTATCAAGAACTTCATTATGCTTTGTAGATTTGATAGTATAAGATTGCTCTCTTTACACACTTCACTTACACAATTTCACACACGTTCATGAGTGGGGTCCTATGCCCGGACTTGAGTGCAACTTAGGGTAGTAAGAGGTTGAGTAGTAGTAACCTTCTTGATGAACATCTTGTTTGGTTATTACGAAGGCCTCACTTAGAGATTGATCCTTTCAATGGTATTATCACCTATAATAGTCTACCTATTATTGTGACTAATATCCTAAGAAGGGTTATTGGCTCCAGCCACTATCAAGAACTTCAACTGTCTTACCGCGATCGGAAATGGGCTGAGAATATCAATACCCCACTTGTTGAATGGCCAAGGAGACAAGATTGAATGGAGTCGTTCAGCTGGAGAGTGGCGCAACGTTGCGTGTCTTTGACATTCATCACACTTTTGAACCCAATTGACGCAGTCGTTTCTCAAAGTCGGCCAAAAATACCCTGCCCTTGCAACTTTGTATACTAGTGCACATCCTCCGATATGACTTCCACACATGCCGCCATGCACTTCATCCATCACTCTTTGCGCTTGTGATGTGGTCAAACATCTCAAAAGGGGATTGCTGAAACCCCTTCGATATAACCTCTCATTGATGACCACAAACCTAGGTGACTCCCTTTGTATCAATGACGCCTCCTTCTTGTCCTCTGCAACTCTCCCCTTGTCAGGTATGCAATATACAGTCCCATCCACGAATCGAGTTCTTCTTGGATGAAAAGAACACTCCCCTGTGGAGCATTAATGCTTGGCTGAGCTAAGGTTTCTTGGATAACCGACCGAGTGGCTCTTGGCTTCTTTGTGCTTGCAAGCTTGGAGAGCAGATCGGCCCGTGAATTTTGCT